AACATGATCCATGACTGTCACAGTACTCAGGGTGCTGTCACTCCCCAGAGCCTATGCCAACACGAGCAGTCTCCACAGAACATAGTCATAAATCCACACCATGAATATCCATGAAGACCTCAGGGGAATTCTGAAGCTGGGTCACCTGTTCTGACTTGGAGTGTTTGTGTTAAATGCAAACTCCTCATGACATTCAGGCTTCTTACAGTGACACCTGATCTTATGAGACCCAGGTATCTGTAGGGTTGACAAGTTTTCTAAATGGTTTTTTAGCTAGTTAATACCAATTAACTAATTCCAATTTTAGCTAATTGGGGACGGGGCAGATAAGAAAAGCTGCTATTATGTAACTATTCACACTGATTATAAAATACATTTCGACTGCAGAAACATGGAAACACTGTGGAAATATAGCACCACATTTTTCTAGAAAATACTCAGAGTTTAGCCAGGCCCTGGGTGCCCCAAGGTCAAAATGTGGGGATCTTTTTCTGTTCTGGGATGAGCCAATCTAATAGCTATCTGGTAGAAGAGTCTTTCCAGGGCTCTTCAAATGACATTGTGCTGGTTTTTATCTCTCAGTCTCAGATGTAAGTAATCCTCTTTACCCAAGTTCCTTAGAGACTAACATGATCTCTTCATATTGAGAGCTAAATACGGAGTCCTAGAACGACAGTAAAGTACCCTGCCAAAGCGCCCTTCTAAGAAGTTCAGCAGCAAGGACAAACCACAGCGCTTAGCTTCTGCTCTCCATCAATGGACTCACAGGGTCACGGGCTTCCTTCCCACTCCCCAGCTCTGAGCCTTCCCACAGATGAATCCCTGACCGAGACAATCGCTTTTCTTTAAAGCACATAAAACACATAAAGGCCATGCGAAGTCTCCAGTGCAGATAAACTCGCCACTAGTGGCTCTTACATCTCCCATTCAGTTCCTTGGAGGAAGTAGCAAGAAAAACAGGCTTTTTGTTACTTTTCTAGAAAATATTTTCTTGAAAAACATCACGCATCCCAATCCCACTCATCTCCCCGTTCCTTCATATCTGCCCTCTACCCTTGAACCCCTCCCCAAATAAAAAAATATAAAACAAACAAAAAACATTAAAAACTTCTCCTTGTGGAAGCTGTCATGTGTCACTGTGTGTCCCACAGCACACCCTTTTGCCCACACATCTTTCCTTGCAAATGTTCATTGTTCATTGCCATGAATCATTGATCTGCTTTGAGGCCTCTGGCTTCTGCTATAGCATCTCTTGGATATCCTATTGTTCTCCTGTGTCATGGAGATCTGCAGCAGGATCCCTTCACACACTCTAGTAGTTCATAGATGAGGGAGATATTGGGATGAGCCAACTCAGAACCCTGGATCTTGGCCTGAGTGGTAGCTGAGGTGGTCAGCCCAGCAGCTTTCCTACACCCACAACTGCAAAATAAGCTCTCCAGTACTGCTCTGGCTCGCTCATATAATGCTGCAGCTGGCAAGGGGCAGGGCAGGCTTTTCCTTGCTCACGTCCTCGTGGCCTGTTCCCCTGTGCTTCTGATACCACGGCTGGGTCTACTGTGCTGCCCAGGTAAGGTGCAGGGTCTCCTCTCCTGAGTGTTGAGGGTTGCAGTTAGTGAGGGGTTGGGCTAGCTCTGCACAGCTCTTGGACATCAACGTGGTCCCAGGTGGCAACCCAGACCAGGATGTCCATATGGTATTTAGTGGTACTACAAGCCACGGACATCAACCCAGACCGCTGCTGCTGCATGGCCATGGTCCTCAGTAGTAGCATAGCCTCAGGCAGCAGTGCAGGCTACTCACAGCAGGCTGTCCCTTTCCATTCTTGAGTCTCCAGTTCCAGCTCTCTTCATAATGATCAGGCTGTTCCACCTCTTTCTCTGCCATCTGTCCACCACATATTGTTATGGCTCCAGCTGTGGGTGGGCTAAGTGGCTGGTGGGCCTCTGGGTGTCTTCCCCAACCTGCACCTTGTTGTTTTGCCACAGTGAACGTCTTCTCAGGCAAAACTGTCCATGATTCCAGGTCTTTTACTTCCATTCAGTCACTGGCTTCCTGTGGATGTCCTGTGCACACAAAGATTCTGGGGGCAGAGGTCTCAGGGACACAGAAAATAGGGTTACCTCTCTCTGAAATTCTAGTCTAGGAGACAAAAGTTAACCACAAACTAGCCCATGACACCCCAGGAAAACTCAGAAGACATTGCTTCACATCCTGTTTTACTGTTAGTAGCTGTGACCCCAGTTGAGTTGAGTCTGCCTTGAGAAAATGGCAGATAAGAGACCTCATTCAGGGAAGTGAAGGATCATGGGTAGCACTTCAGGTTTAGCATCTGGATCTAGGCGAAGACAGCAATGGGAGAAACTCTGTCCAGTGTGTCAGGCAGCAGCAGAGGACTGTTGTCTGGACTGTCATCTTTGAGATAATTTCTTAAACCTTCTTTACCTCTTACCGAGTATGTCATGCTTCACCTCGCCTGCTGAGACAAGTGCTTTCCATGGCTACTCAAATGGAATCGTAAGTATTGCTTCTTCCCATGAGGTTGAAAAATACAATAATGCAGAACACTTGGTACTAGTGGACACTGAATAAATGGGCAGTTTCCCTCTAGCACAGAGTGAATGAATGTAAGCTTACAGAGGAAACGGAGGTCACTTTTAACAGGAATAGAACCTCGAATGTTTAGAATTTGTACTGCTTCTCCAGGAGATTCATTCATCTCACCATATGGAAACTTCTGGGGATAGACTGTATCAGAGGAAACAACCTCACTTATAATTAAGGATGATGAGTAAAAGGACATGCATGTTTGTAGCTATCAAAGGACATAACATTTTATATAACTCCTTCTATAAGCAAAACACGATGAATTCAAATTCAATGTCGAAAGAGTGAATCCTCTCTTAATTTGCAATTGGCCCACTGCCAATCACGGTGCACACTCTAACTTTGAGTAACGAAAGAGCTCAGGCCCAGACAAGTTTCAGTTCACTGGGCCATGATGGCAAATGACCTCAATACTTCCAAGAAAAGCATATGAAGAGAATGCAGAGATGAAAGGCCACCCCAAAGGTGATATAATTGTCTATGATGCTGTTGTTTAGGTAGGTAATTTTTAATGCCAACTATTTAAATTAAACCAACTCTCACATGACAAGTGCTTTATGTGTTTTGGGTGCAATAGACTTTGTATAACCCATTTGTGATTTCTGTTTTTCTAGGTAAAGAACAGAAGAAAAAATTCCTTCATTTTTCTTCATCTGATTTATAGAATAAGGTACTTTTGGTCAGGGAAGCAGTTGTTATAGTTGATGATTTGGCCAAGGTGTATTCACTGAGTAACTGATGCGCAGAACTAATAGATAGTATCATGAAAGCTGCCCAGAGAGAGAATGTATTTCAGCCAGCAGACCCAGCCGGCTTTATGGGAAATGAGTCAGAGGAATAAATATACCAATAGCATTTTCTCTTTTCTTCTGGCCAAATCCACCCAGAAGGCAGGGGGAGGGTAGCCCACTGCTGTGGCTCATCCTCCCAGACAGGGAGCAATGCAGACAGACAGTCGGAGAACAAAGATCAGACATCAGACATGAGAACAGACATGTTGTTCTGCTTCCTCTTATGCCAAGATCTGAGGCTAGGGAGTACCAGCTGCATACTTCTGCCACCACAGAGCAGCCTGCTACCATGCCTTCCCCTGCATAAGGGATTGTGTCCCCTCAAACTGGGCTCACAGTTAGGAAACTACCTTGACTATCAGAAGACACTGGGATTTTTAAGTGATGGGACAATTTTTTTTTAACAAAAGACACAGTGGAATTTTTAACTCTGTTAAAGACCATGGACTTTTGAAGTTGAACTGAATGTATTTGCATCCTAAGATGGCTTTGAACCGATGAGAGCGGGGTGGAATGTTATGGTTTAAACATGAGGTGTCCTGTCAAAGTTCATACACTTAAACACTTTGGTCCCGACATAGGTGGCTCAGTTTTGGAAAGTTGTGGAGCCTTGAAGAGGTGAAGTTTCACCAGAGGAAGTGGATCATTGGCACAAACCTTGAGGTTTTATAACCAACTCCACTTCCTGTCCATTTTAGGATTCCTATTCTGTAATGATCCGAGGTGAAGTGTCCCAGTACACACTTCTACCATGCAGACGCCAGAAGCCATGCCTTTCCCAACAACAGGCTATGTCTCTTGAAACTATAAGTCAAAATTAAACTCTTCTACTTCTTAAAAACAAACAAACAATAATAACAACAACCTCCCCCACCCCAAACTGTCCTGAGGGTAGGAAAGGTAGGAGAAGAGGTAGCCTGTGCACAGCTGTGCACACCTGTAACCACAACACTTGAGAGGCTGCAAGACAATATCACAGGGCTGCATAGTGAGCTCTAGGCTAGTCAGAGCCTCACAGGGAAACTGTCTTTTAAAAAAGCTAGAAATAGGTTAATGTGTTACCAGCTTGGGCAAACGTAAACACAAACTGTGTGGCTTTAAAAATAGAAATTTTACTTTTTTCTCAGAGTTCTGGAAGTTAGAAGAGTAAGACCCAGGTGTAGCAGGTTTGGTTTACCTTCCTTACTGTGTCTGCAGGTGGGTACCCCTCTATAAGCATGCACCCCTGTGATCCAGTCATACTGAATTGGAGCCTCTCTCTTTTTTAATACCTCATCGAATTAAAATTACCTTTCCCATGGTCCTCGCTCCCGAGACAGTCACATTGGTGTTTGGAAAGAGACTGTACAATTCAGTCCATAGTAAGAGTTGGCTGGAGGATTCACACTGCTAATGAGCCCTTTAAATAACAGCAGCATGTGGATAATTGGAGTAGCCCACAGAACTCCCCAAAGCTCCCCTTATTTTATTTGATTATTACAACACTATTTTACTCAACCTCCTGTTCCTGGCATTGCATGTTTATTTCTGCCTATCCGTCTCCAGGGACTCCAGACCCAGACTCTGATCTTGGTCATTGATTTGCAGACACCATATCCAGAGAACTTGACTCTAACCTGGACCTTCATTCAATGCGGTGAGTGACTGTGTTCTTTCCAGCATCATAAAGTCACAGTCTCTTGTCTGAATCTGGGGACTTGGATTTCTACCATTTGTGGCTAGTCCTAAGTAGAGCTAGTAGGCATTTATTTGTGGAAATTTTGATCTAGTGACATAGTCGTGGGAAAACATTTTTAAATGTCATTCTTAGCCGAGACTTGAGCCTACTTTTCTAAAATAGCAGTTATCTGTCATCTGTAGTAAATGCATCTACTCCTGGATAGTTTTATGGTGGCAGGGAAAGGGACACAGCATCCTGTGTTAAGGATCAGAAAGCAATCATTATGTGACTTAACAGGGTCAGTTAGGAAGAAATCAAGAACAACGCCACTATTCACAAAGAAAAGAAAAAAGATGTGAGCCTTCACCAGCTGTTCAGGTATCAGAGAAGGGTTAATAACTGAGCCCTCTGGCTTCTCATCAAGTATCCTCCTCATTCCCAATGAGATGAGTGGGCTGAAGCCAGGATGCTTGGGAGACAGGAGCTGCTTAGTGTGGCCTCTGATAAAATGCCCTGAACATGTTGCCTCAGAGGCTGTAGACAGCTACTGTGCTCAATTATTCATCCTGACTTTTACTGGGTACCTTCCTCCCATTTCAATTACTTGGGATTTTTTTTTTATAGAAAATTGCCTGTGGGAATTTGACCCCTCCAACTGCCTGGTAATAATCTGGCTTGAATAGCAAACACAGCATGGGTTAGTTCTGGGGCAAGCCAGAGCATTCTCAGAAGGATTTGAGAGGGGTTGCTCTGGGCTACACAGACAGCTAGAAGATTGTCTCAAAAAAAATGATGCTATTCGTGAGAATTTGGGCTATTTATGTTGGAGTGGGAAAAGCTAGAAATGTCACTCATACCAAGATTTGAAGTCAGTTTGTTTAAAATAGCAGTCAGCTTTGATATAAACGCTTTTACTGTCAACTGGTGGGCGTATGAAGGCACTGTTGAACATCTGTATCAAAATATAAATAAGTATCTTTTGATGGAGGGTCTTATGACTTATGCATCTAACTTGTGATTCTCCAGCTCCAGCCACCGGAGTGCTAGGATGGCAGATGGAGAGGTCATGCTGTGCCTATGCATAAGGTTAGATGCCCAGCAGATACGTTCTCTGTCCAGGGTACCATGTCCTATCTATGCGCATTATTTCATGTAATGCTGACAATCATTCGGGAAGTAAGCAGCTACATGAACCCAAATTTGCAAAGGAGAAAACAGGTTCCAAGGGACTAAATGACTCTGGAAATTCACACAACTCGTAAATGGTGATCTTACTTCACAGTCAAGAGCCTCCATTGCAACTACAATATTTGATTTAGTTTTAAAAGTATTTAACATTAAGAGACAGCAGAGGGAGAGAGGGAGAGGGAGAGAGAGAGGGAGAGAGAGAGAGAGAGAGAGAGAGAGAGAGAGAGAGAGAGAGAATATATGAGAATATCAGGCTTGGCAGCAGGTACCTTCATTAGCTACATTTAAGTTATTTGTCTGGTGCCTGCAGATTATAGCACTCAGAAGTTATACTATGTTTGAAGGAGATGGGAATAAATAAATACATGCCAATGCTCTACTTCAAACTATAATTAGAATCTTGAATGTTTCCCCAAAGGTCTTAGTGGTAAAATCTTTGTTCCTAGTCTGTGAGACTGTTGGAAGGTGATGGACTCTTTACAGGGTGGGACTACCTACAAGTTAGAAGGTTGAGGACATGCTCTTGAAAGAGATGTTGAGAACCCAGCCACTTCTCTCTCATTTTGCTTCTTCGGACTCCAGAAGGCTCATGTTGCCCCATAATGTCCTCCCTGTCTCACTTGCCTCACGGGGACACAGCAACAGGGGCAGTTGAACACATGAACCAAGGTAAACCACTGACACTATGAGCTAAAATAAACCCTTTCTATTTTGAAACTGAGTATTTCAGGTTTTTGTTATAGCTCTGCAAAGCTGACTAACACCGTTTGTTGACATCCCATTGCCAATGCAAATAATTTTCTTAATATCAGTGATATCCATAAATATAAGAGCATTGCTTTTGATTTTCCCACTATATTACATTTTACATTATGGTCTCAGACTTGTTTCATTTCCATATAGAGAGTCCTTTCCTAATAGGTGACCTGGGGGTATCTAAACTGAGGCCTAGGTTGCATAGTCTTGTTTCCAGGCATGTCTGGTAGCCAATGGGACAACAAGGTTCACCCAGAAGGCATGACGAGTCCTTTGGTCAAACTTAAATGGAAGATAAAGGCCAACATCTAAGGGAGATGGAGTAGAATTCTTGGGCATTGTTCCTCTTTTCAAAACACCTGAGAACACATTCCATCCACTGTGGATATGAGGTACTGAAATTACTATAGGGGCCTTTGTATGGCTCTCAGTAATGGATAGCTTTAGTGTCATTCTTCATAGCTGCACTTCACTGAGGGCACGTCTGGGGCAAGAGGCCAGCATGGCTCTGAGAAAGTCAGGTAGGGAAGGACAGGTGGCCCAGCTCAGATCTGCAGAGAGGCAACAGTTGGTCTCTAAGGTGACAAGGAGGGACAGAGAAGGGACCACATGGAAGTGACAGGAAAAGATGGTGCTCTTTGTTCATGGAGTGTCATCTGTGTTCCCACACTCAGTTCCACAGCCAGGAGCTCCTCAAGAACTTAAGAGGATCCTGGGAGGCATCTTAAGACTTCCAAAAACATGTCTGTGATTGGGAGTTTAAGCCAGATAGTAACTGTCATATTTCCATCAGTGAGCTTTTGATGCCCTGGGAAAACACAGACAAATCCAAAAAAGGGAGGTGGGGTTACCTCATTTTTAGCTTTTGAAAATTTGGAGAAATATAGAGAGTCCAGTAAGGTTCCTTCCAACTTGAGCCTGGGGGGTGGGGCTTTCAGAGCCTTGACTCCTCCAGATCTCCCCAGAGGCAACATTCTTCCTCCCCATGCCTGCAACATTCAGTCAGAACTAACTACTTAGCTAAGGAACAAAACAGAAAGATCCTTTTAGCTGAGTTATGAGTAAGCAGATCTTTAGAAATGTGCCCACTTCACTATGAAGAGTATGACTAGAGAGGACCACAATCTCATAGGAGATGACAGGCAGCCAGGAGCTTACTGAGGAGCTGTTAATCTGAAAACATCTTAACTGAATCCACGAGTATCACTCAGCATTTCTCTAAATCAAACCAACCCGAAGATAAAGAACACAACCGCTAGTTGGTTCTATCCATCAAATGCTATAGTATAGAGTACCTACACAGACTAACATATTCTCTGTGGTCCTCAGTAATAGTGTCCATGGTGATCACATTTCTTGATTTTCAAGACCCTTCTGCTCTGTTTTACGGGTCTTCATCATTTATTTGGAGAGACTTGGTTTCCAGTGGGCTGTTGCTAGCAACTTACAGTCTTGGGACTTACTTGAACTCTTGCTCTTTCTAGGGAACAAATACTTCATGGAGGCTGTTTTTTTCTAGTGTATTTACCATGAGCCAGGCATGATAAATTGATACAGCAGAAGTGAATGAAGCAGAAACCCAGGCCTCAGTTCTGTATACCCTAGAAGACCCAGAGCAATGCAGAATCTACATGTTCCTTAGTTTACTTCTTCAGGGATATTCTGAAGAGGTTTTTTTTTTTCTTCATAACCTCAAGGCCAATGTTTCAGAATTGAACTGCAAGTGTATTATGCTGCAGCAAGAGATCATGGATATTTCAGCTACCTCTTAGGCTGTTCAATTTCCTGTTTCATTGATCAGCGAGACCATCCTTGTCTCACATACAGTAATTAGAAAGTTTTTCTAGTAATAGAACTAACAATCTGATGCAGGTGAAATAGTTCCTCTTGATCTTAGTCTGAGACGTCTCCCTGTCAGGATGTAAAACCACTGTCCGGATTGGATTCATATGCCTTATGGGCCATTTACTGCTTTACAAAGGCACAGGTCCGCAAGAAACTTGAAATAGGCTTTACAGAAAGCAGAGACATGGCTGTAATTGGGTTTTAGCCACAAGGTAGTTTAGCTTGAGTTTTATGTGACTACAGCCCTGAGTTAAACTCATAGGCTGTACAGGAGTGTGAATTGGGGTTTTAGTTCTCACATGTCCCCTCAAGTGCTCCCCTTTTCATGAAATAATTGAAGCCACAGTGACCACCAGCTGTGTGGGATGGATTTTTCATTTTGTGTGGCATGTTCATAAGCAGGTTTCCATTTATGCACAGTCTAGGGTCTGAAGAAGTCTAAGTATTGATCGTTTCAGCAAGATCCCATTGAGTTCTGTTGCCTAACTATAAACAAACAAACAAATGAATCAATCCCAGCCATATTAGTCATTGAGTCAGAGATGAATTTCATGGGCAGTGTATAAAGGACATGTGCCAGTGTCTTCCCCTGGACACTGTGTCATCTTTATGTTTTGCTGTGGAATTATGACATTGGAAAATTGGCGCATCCTTAAGGTCCTCCAAGGGAAAGGAATTCATGACTGGTTTGATAAGGTCTGTCAACTTGGACTCATCAATGTTTCTTATCTTCTCTCTACTTGTTTGCTGTTTAGACACCACTGCCTTAGTCTAAGTGTCACCACATGTAGCCTGGCCTATAACAGTGGCTGTACCTGGGTCTCTTATCCCTACTCTAAGCAGTTGCTCCAGGGAAAATGAAGACATGAGTCTGAACATGTTCTTTTCTGCAGGTGCCCATGTTGGTCCCTGCCCAGTCTTCTTGCTCAGGAAGACACACTCCTTCAGTCTGGCAGAGCAGATACCTCACAGTTTTCAGAGTAAGCCAGGCATCTAACAGCTAATGGTTCAGTGGGGAGGCCCAAGAGATAACTGGTATTGACTGGAGAGAGTTAGCTCAGAGGGTGTTGCAAAGAGAGAGCTAGTTCAGAGGCTGTTGCAAAGCATGGACTCATATCCCCCCTCACCCCCCCAGTCTCTTTCACTCTACTTCTTTGCCCCTTTGCCTCAACCTGTTCTCCCTCTGG